TTGGATTAGATCTCCCACTCCACCCAAAAAGGATGGAATAGAAACATTAACAGCCATGTAAGGACTCAATACTTATCCCCCATGCACTCTTTCTCAGGCAGCTCCTGGAGTGTGTGCTTTGCAACATGAGAGGGAAAAACAAAGAAGATATGGAACCTGGTGTAGGGAGACTGTTGACCGCCTCCCAAGCTCCTTCTCTCCTCTTCCCTACTGACAAACCTGCTGAATTATGGGAACCTCAATATTCTCAGCTAAAAATCTCTGTCTCCCAGACTCCCTTAGAGATGGGGCAGCCAGTGATACATATGCAGGAGTGGTCAAATGTGGTTTCCAGAAAAGCTCTTTAAATCAGGTGAACCATGGAGAGCCTGGGTGTCTCAGTCAGTTAAATGTCTGACTCTTGGTTTCAGCTCAGGTCATGATCTCACAGTTTGTGGGATGGAGCCCTGCATCAGGCACCGCACTGTTAGTGAGGGGGCCTGCTTTGGATTCTCTTTCTCCTCTCTCTGCCCCGCCCCCACTCTCTCTCTCAAAATAAATAAACTTAAAAAAAATAGTAAAATAAAACAGGTGAACAAGCAGCTTTCAGGTCCCTTCTGCCCTATCCCTCTTTCTTCCTGCCTAGAATGTAATGGCTGGAATCCCAGCAGCCATGTTATCATCATGAGGATGAGGGTCACACCCCAGGGAGGGGAAAGCAGAGAACCTGATGCCTAATGATCTTGTGTTGTTCCCATACCACTCTGGACTGCCTCCTCTAGACTTCCCATTATGTCAAGGAAGTGAAGGGGGGAGCGGGGGGCAGGGGGTGGCAGGGAGGAACCTCCAGACATGAATAAGCTGTTCTTCTGAATCTGTCATGAGTAATCAAACACAATTCCAGATATAGAAACTGGAGAACCAACAAGGAAAGGCAGGGAAAGTGACATGCCAGAAAAACAGGTGGCACAGAGTGGGGCCAATCTTTTCCCTGCTTCATCAGCCCACTGTTCTCATTCCTGTCTGTAACTGCTTCAGAAACCTGAAATGCCCTTCTTTTCCTTTTGGTCCATCGAAATTCCTACATCCTTCAAGGCCCAACTCAAATCCCACCTCCTTCATGAAGTCTTTTACTCTAGGCCCCCAAGGACCTCTTCTCTGTTAAGGCCCTCAAATGGGGCTTAATCATATGCTCTTCTCCTTCCCGTTCACTGTTACCTAACAGTTTCCTCTGTTGTCCATCCAGGTCTTACTTTCCAAATTCGACTCTTGGACCCTTAGGAGGGAGACGTGCAGAGAAGGAAGTGCAGTGATGAGAACTTACCACCCACATGCCAGGCTGTTCCCCAAGGCCATGTCCCGCAGGGTTCTCAGGCTTCCATAACACCCAATGTCTACCTTGGTTTTCTAGGAAACTGGCTCCCAGTTCCGTCTCGAGATTTCCTTTTCCACACATTCTTCAGTCCACTCAGCCATTCCATATATATTCTCGGAGAGCTAGTTCTGTGGCGGGCACGGGCTAAGTGCTAGTGATCCAGAGGTGAAAGGATATAATCCTGCCCCTGCAAACTTTGCAGTGTAGCATCTGGTCAAAGAGTCCAAAGGCTCCCGTGGGAGGAGCACAGACCTGGAAGTCAGGGGACCTGGCTTCCAGGTAGCTAGGCCAACTTGGGTTGAGAGTTCTACCTCTCTGAGCCCCCATCTCCAAACGTTGAAAATATATGTGAAGCTCTAGAAGACCTCTTTCAGTTCTAACCAAGAATGGTTTTATAACCTGAGGGGGGTGTGTGAAGGGTAAGGTGGAAAAAAGAGAATTAGCATTTATGGAACACCTATCTGTGCCAGGCATAAAGTCGGTTTAATACAATTTTAACTGGTAAGTGATTTATCCCCATTTTACGATTGCAGAAACTAGAGCTAAGAGATTAAGCAATTTGCTTAGGAGCACACAGCTAAACACCAGAGCCAATTTATTTTTTCTATAGGTAATTACCATATATATGCCTCCTAAGAGCAGGCACTCAGCTTAGTGCTAGGCATACAATACTGATGAGGGCACAGGCCCTGACCTGTTTATCTGTCTCCTCCATTCAACAAGTAAAACAAATTCAATTGGAGGACCCCCCACTCCCCCCCCCCCCGCCTTTCAGGCTTGGGGGGCCTGGAAGCACAGAGAAGTCTCTCCCCAGCTTTAGAGCAGGCAGGCCAGGCTTCTCAGAGGATGTGATGGCAAGGCTGAATCCTGAAAATGAGGAATTACCATGGTCACATGAAGGGATAGGAATGGGGCAGATTTGGGGAAAAAAGGAAGACTTGCCCAAGCAGGGGAGCAGCATGTCAAAACCCTGAGCAAGAAGGATTGGTAGAGGAGCCCCAGATAGTTCAATATGATTGGAAGTGAGATTTAGGGCAGGGTAAGAAGCAGGCCTAGAGGAAGAGCCACAAGTCAGACCACAGGAGCCCCGGGACCCTCCTTGAGGCAATTCTGACTTATGCTCAGGGCAAGGATGAGCCAACTGGAATCTAGATCAGAAGACTATGCTCTTTCAGAGGAGAGGCTGCATGGGGTCTTAGCATGGCTGTCTTGGGCTCAAGGAAGCGACAGCATGGCAAGTCTGGAGATAAATTCTTGTTGTTTTTTTTTAATGTTTATTTATTTTCAACAGAGAGAGAGAGAGACAGAGCAGGGGAGGGGCAGAGAGAGAGGGGGAGAGAGAGAGAGAATGGGAAGCGGGCTCCAGGCTCCTAGCTGTCAGAGCAGAGCCTGACGCAGGGCTCCAACTCACGGACCGCGAGATCATGACCTGAGCCGAAGTCGGACACACAACCAACTGAGCCACCCAGGAGCCCCTAGAGATAAATTCTACGGGAGTCACAGGACATGCTGATGGAGCCAGCCCATTTATGTGAGGTATCAAACCCAAATCAACTCACCTGGTTGTCTAGGAGCCACAGGGACTGAAAGCTGGCAGGGTTTAGCTTCTTACTGCTGCCCCCTGTCTTGACCACCTGCTGCCCCACAAAGGGGGAGACCAAGTGGTGGAACTTCCTCACAGATGGTCCTTCTGGCATCCCTGCAGGCAGAAGTGGGGAAAAGAAGCTAGCTTTTCTCTAGCATTTTTTATGGGTGCCAAGTTCCAAGCAGCTGTGTTTTGCCATCAGCTTGAAGAGTATAGATGGCCAAAAGAGAGTGTGGCTGAGAAGAGGGGTCAGATCAAAGAGAAGGACGAACTGTGCCAGGGTGTGGGCCAGTTCCCCAGTAATGGCCCAGTTTCCTTCTCCTTTCTTCATGCAGCAAACTTGTTACACACCAACAGCATGCTAGGCATCACGTCATGGGAGCCTCCACTTTGCTCCCGTGGCGGCTTGGACAGGAGCTGGCCCTAGGTAATTTGCCTGCACTGTGGGCCCCAGACTCCTCTCCACACTTTCCCTGTCCTCCCCCTTCAGCAAAACCAATTATTCCAACCCACTGCTGCTGATTTCTCTCCCCACTTTTAGGGGAGAAATGGTGATGGAAGAGAAGGCTGTAAGGGACACAGAGACACAGATGTGGATGTGGTCTTCCAAGGACCACCCCACTAGTAGGGGTTCTGTGTGTGTGATGACAAATACAGAGCTCAGAACCATGACAAGTGCAGACAGGGGGTCATGTTCGTTCCGAGCAGGAAGAGGCCACATCCAGCTTAACTACAGATAATTATTCCTGGTAACTGCAAACAGCTGGGGTTGTTTTAACCCTGATCCATGGTTATCTGTGACCCCCATCTCTCTCTGCCCCCAATCACCAAGTTCACTCAGAGTTTACGTGTAAGCATTCAGATGTTTGAGTCTGAGTGGCCTGTACCCAGGTTTCCTGCAGCTAGGAGTCCCTCCCCACCCCACCCCACCCCTCCCCTTAACCAGGGCACACTACTTAACCATCCATTTCCTCACCTGCACAAGACTCTGTAAGTTACGACAAAACCCCAAAGAACTAAGTAGGTACCTGGCATGGTGGCAGCTATCGTATTTCAGCAGTTCTAAAAAACATTTAAAGTTTTCCAAAATGGGGATGCCTCTTACTATATGCATGCTTTCTCATAGTTTAATTAGCAGCACGTTCAATAATGTGTATTTTAAATTTGATGGCGCTTTAGATTCGCTAAAAAGTAGTGCTATTTCCCTTAATCAGGCCTTCAAGATACTGGAGAGGCTTTACTGACAAAAAGTTCTGGATTGCAAGGAGACCTGCCAGACTGGAGCGGACCTAAACCTCAACCAGCTCTCTGTACCCAGGCCATCTCCAACGGAGGAAGTTTCTGGAAAAGCGTCCATCTGAAATGCACTTACCCTTTGAAATTTCTTGACACAGGGGCGTATTTCTTTAGGTATACTTATGAAGATGTAAAACTGGGCAGCAAGTTACCTCTGCCATAGCCTGAAGGGACCAGAAGGGGAAAGGACAAAGATTTGATG